ATGGTTTTTTTCAATATTTCTCTACCCAAAATTCCACAGGAATAGAATGTTCAAGCACAGAACTCTCGGTATTAGCACTGAATATAGATCACCTTCTTTTATAACTGGATTGTCCTGATCTTAATAATAGAACCGTCCATGTTCAACAAGAATCCATTCAATAAATCTAATTCTGACAAGCACACAACGCATATATTATTTATCAATGGTGCAGCCGGACAATTGGACTTGACAAACACCGATACGGCCATTATTTGAATATAACATCATGATCCACCTATCGGCTGCATTATTAATTAATACAAAATACACAACATACATGTCCGTGCCTCATAATTGCAACTAAATTTGTGGCACTTTCATAAATTAGCTGATATTGATATTGGGTAATATTTTGTTTAAATTACCGAACTGAAATTCTCATCGGACGTAGAGGCGCTCTGATTATTTCTCATAATGGTCCTTCGATGTGAAAATTGGTAATTTGGAAGTGTCGGCCAACCAGACATGTGTCGTACCCCTAAAATATTTCTGGGGGTACTTCTCAGAAAAACATTCCATAGATTTACAACAACAGCCACTTTCTTTGAGTGTAATAACTTACTTCTCTGGTCGTTTTGAAAACATGACACACATTTGTTGTAAATTCAACGTTGGAGTGGTTTTCAAACGTCAAAATCATCCAAGAGCATCATCACAGTATTTCTGTATACAGTAGTTTCACTCAGCGTCGGTCCCTTTGATGTCGGTGTCCAGGAGTTTCATTTTTTATAATGATGACGTATTTGACACTAATGACATTTCTTCCTACTATAATCTCAACCAAAGCGTGTATACACTGCTCAACATAACAACTATTCATATAAACTGCTCAAAAAAAAACAGTCAATGAAAACCATGTTGGGCACCTGAGAAAATTGTACAAATGATATTTTTCATCGACTGTATTTTTTTGAGCAGTTTATATGAATATTTGTTATGTTGAGCAGTGTTTAAACGCTTTGATTGCATGCCTGTCTTAAACTCGTCGTTTGCGCAGACCTGAGGCATCGACGCGTGGGTCTGTGCGTAGGAAAATTCAAACCACAAATCAGCCTTTATGAAATTACTGTATACAAAATACTGTGGCTTTATCTCAGAGCTGGCAAACGAGGAACAAAAATTTTGAATTGACTTTTGCGGATTTGGTACGATTTTAATCTATTCTTCATCGGGATTCAAGGAAGGGAACCGAAGAAGTTTCTGGAATGTCATTTTCATTTTGAATGAAATATATCGGCATAATTGATAATAATGAGTGTTGATGAAGTTGGATTTTTCAGAATGGGTATCCAAAGGGAGTAACATTTCTGGTTGAATATAATAATTAACCTTTCAGATTTGATTTATTTTGAAACGTCACAGAATTATAGTTGAAAATATGAAAACAACTAGTTTATTTTGAAAAACAACAGACTTCAGAACGAAAAATAATAAGTACAAGTTACTCGATAATAAATGGGATGGAAAGAATAGTTAGAAGATTTTTCTAAAGATCAAAACTCGCATTTCTTACCGGCCGGCAGCACGAAATTACTGGAACTGGGAATAGCTCAGGGCAATCGGGTCGCTAGTAATAACACACGCATATGTTTACTACTCATACTTAAACAATAAGCAATATTAGGAACCCCAATCAAATCGCAAATCGTTCTCGAATGCGAGAAACAATATTTGATGATAATTCATGAAGAAATGAAGAAACGCAATTACAACCGACCGTGATGGCTGTAGGCTGGCGCAATTTTAGTCGCAGATTATGCGTTCTGATAGTCCGAACCGCGGATTGATATCTGCATAAAATATCACTGTTTGATTACCGACTTCTGAAGCAATTACGCATTTTTCTGGAACCATCTCTGGCTCCGCGGGCCTTGGCTACTGTACATTCGTCTAATTATGTATTAAGATATACTGAGTACAACAGCTTACAATCGTTTATTATATCCCAGTCGTTTATTTTTCGTTTTCGAGTCTGATTTGTACACAGAGGCGGCTTTAGCCCGAGAGAAGTAGCTCTTGGTAGATCTACAATACGTCAGGGCCCTCCACGCTCTGGTGGGCCTGGTGAAGAGATGTACCGCTTTGAATACCATGTACCTATAGCTAAGAATCATGAAGTGATTAAAGAACTTGGCCCTGGATTTACAGAGGAGACGGACGTCTTCTGAACCGTCCGTCCATCCTGTAACATCGAATCAAAAGCAGAAGCAGTTCTTTATCTCTCTGTCAACAAATCTAGGAGGTAAGGTGTCACAGCCAGGAAGCGTTATTGCCTCTTCAAGAGTGAGAACCTGACCTGCACAAGCAGAAAAAAACAGACAAACATAGACTTAATGTTGAACTATATTCTATATTCTCAAAAGCAATAAAAAGAAATCGCGGTAAATATTCATGCATGTGCATACATAACCTAATAATATTTTGTCAGTGCCATCACAATTCACATCTACTTCTCAAGTTACAGTATCAGGGTGTCGAATACGCAACACTGTACTGTCACATGAGCAACGATAACGATATTATCTATCCGTATGTATCCGTGAGTGGTTCAAGTGAACCATAATGGTTGACAGATTTGCATGATAATTGTAGTATGTATGACTTGTTACTCCAGTGTATAGACATCTAACTTCAGTTCAACATAGTGCATGATATTGTGACAAAACAGTTGAGTATTTACCAACAAAATAAAATAGAACAAAAAAGATTGGTGTTCAGCTGAACACCATCATGACAACTTCATTAGGTATCTAAAGGTAAAAAAGTCATGACGGTGACTTCTGCCACTCATTTCTCAGTTCATCCCCAAGAGCCGGTCCTGTTTTCGTAGGCATTATTCTTCCATCGAAATGAAAAGACCAGCATTCCACTGGAATTGTGAAATTATATGTTGAGATACAATTCTAGAAACTAACTATTTTTCGTAGGAATTTACAAACGTTTCTACGATTGAGGTGGTGGCGGTGTTGATCTCGGTATGTTATTTGAATACTTCTTGATTTTATTCGACAATTATAGGTTGGCAGCGTTTCACATATCGTTTTCAAGACACTGGGAATCTTCTTGAAATTAATATCCGTGGGACTCGGTCGAGATTTTGCATTATTGAGTTTAACGTGAATATTTCAAATAGCTACAGAGGGAAAAAGAAATCAAAAAAAAGGAGCTTCACCAAAGAGGGGCAGAGATGTACCTGTTTCCCTACTGAATCAAAATATGTAGCCATGATTACCTTCTGAGACGTTCGATTTCGCAGCAGACGCCAAAGAAAAAACTGTTCATAGTTGAAATATACTCCTGAAATTTTTATAGGCGAACTGAAGTAATTCGCCATAATGCTACTTTGTAAGTTCAAAGCTTTGCTATATTTCTTATGTTTTATTTATTGTTGTACATCTCAAAAAACGAATATTACAATTGCGATAACTATTATACTCGTAATAACCCTATTTTAATCCAGTACATACCTATTAGTTGATTCATTCGGGTTTCGACACTTTTAGAGTTGTTTCCCAAACCAAACCAAACAGAAGGCAGTTGAACCGAATTTCGTCTTGCAGGGTATGTCCAAGCGCATTTCGAATGTATCTATTAATCACATACATATATCCGTATCTTGTTGGGCCGTATTCATGAAGTTATATTGCCGATATTCCGAATTGCGGCCATATTGAATTAATTTGAATCGATATACTATTATATAAATTCACATAAATATTGAATGAGTGCTTAGTAATGTCCGTCATTATGCTTTAACTCTGATGGCTTGGGCCGTTTTGAATCAATTCAGCTCGCAGTTTTTTTTTACTCCCAGTTTGGTAAACTCTTTATTGAAAAATCTCTGAGAATAATGAATATTTATGATGCGATCACTGTACCTGAATCAGGAGCTCTTACCCACCAACTGAACAGAAATAATTCATTTATATTTTCAACAGTGTACAGGTTTACTAACTGTAGATATTGGTCATAGGAAAAGGTTACACAGTTTTGTTCGATTCAAGTTTTGTGGTTGAAGTAATGAACCTCGACATGCGTCGACATGTGACATGTACGTCAAAATCGAAACGGAACGTTTACGTTTCATTCGGTTGAACGGAGCCAAACCGCGTTCGGGGGAGTACATATGCAATGACATAATATGTTCGTCATTACGGCCGGCCAGATCTTTTTCATTGCTTTCACGTGTAATTCAAAATGAATTGTCAAAGCCAAATGCTGCTTCTCGGACAAACGTCAAGTGATCGACACATCACCGCACGTGTATTTAGGGAAAAAAATACAGTCTCTGATGAACTACATTGTTAAACAACGCGTCTTTGGGGAAATTCGATTCTGTTGTTTTCATCTTCTGATGATACAAACTTGCCTAGCAAAACGCGCATCGAAAGCCATACAGTTCTGATGTAAGAGAGTAGTTTCCATCAGATTTATTTCAAGACAGAGGTTCCAAATTTCCGTATCAAATTTTCCTAGGATACCTAGATGTTCAATAAAATTCTAGCGTTTCCCAATATTAACAGGCGTATTTTAACTTTTTTGCCTGCATCTCCAAAACAAATCACAATTTTCAATCATTCAATCGAATCGCTCCTGGCCAAAATTCGTCGTCGTCTCTCAGATCGACGACGTCGAGGGCATAGAATATTGGACGAGGGTGTCGACGTCCCGCGATGAAAACTCGAACCAATGCGGGTTCTCAAATAATCAGTCGCACAGCCCTCTCGAAGCGCGATATTTGCGGTAGGTGGGTTGCCCTTCGAATTTGTAGAGTTAAAATTGATATTCGATACAAGCAATAGAGATTTAATAGTCCGATACCATTCATGCGCTCAATCTCGTCATGTTTGTATCGAATGTATATGTCAGTCGTCAGTTTCACCGTGAAAATAATAACATAAATCGAAAAATATATAATCAGTATGAATATGATTTTTATAGTCATGTACGTCACTTACCTACTTCTTGCTTTGCTTTGGGTTTCTGAAACATCAGAAAATATGATGAGAACTCTGAACATAATCGGTGAAATTTATTGTTGAAAAAAGTTCTATCAAATAGCTGTGATAATTTTTTTTTGATAAAATCACAAAAAAAAGGTCAGATCCCCCAATTCGAATTCATTTTCTTATATTAGGTTTCACTTATGAATGTTAGAATGAAAAGTTATAGAAGAAAGTTGTAGATAGTATTATCTAAAAAAAGATCTATAAAGTTTTCATACTCCTTATAGCTCAGGAGATAATTATTACATCATCATTCACAAAATGGCGACCGAGATATACCTACCACCCCAGACACCAAAAACTTCAGTGTTGTGTTGTGATAAAAAGTGAATAAATAAAAAATGTGCACTCGATATGAAATGCTGGGTATGAGTTTCCTTTCGGCCAGATTTTACTGTGATATTGTAATAATCCTACGAAGTTCATCATCACCCCCGTTTTCGCGGTCGCTCTCCACCCCGTAAACCAACCCCCAGACTCACACGCTTCCAGTTACACGTTTCGTTTCGGGTTACGGTTTTAACGCGATTCAATGTCGCACCCCACGACTGATAAATTTCCCTGCCAAAGGGCGTCTCGTCGCGAATAAGCATCCAGACGACCGCCGGAACGCCCGAAAATATTCAACCGTTGATTATTTTCGGAAATGGGAGGCGAAATCTTATTTGTAGCAATTTTGCCCCGGATAATGCGATTGTCAGATTTTACCTTCGTTTCGAGCTGTTGAGAGCGCATTTCGATGAAAAATAATCATGCAGAAAAAATTCTCAACATGCAACGAATCGAGTGAGTGGAAGTTTACTTTTGAAATAATTCCTGAAGAAATTGAGGGAAAACTGTAATGAAGTATTTTGTTCGCCTTCTCTAGGCGCGCGATTCGCTAACTGCATCATCAGGAGATGACTAAAACTACTCTTTACAAGTTGTGTTACACGAATCATTACCTTGCAGAATGAGTGTCAATTAATCAGTTCCTAGTATTTTGTTATCTACTACCGTACTGATATCTAACATTTACCTTTTTTTCTACCTATAATGAGCTATTAAGAATGGGACCTTCATTACCATTTATAGATCTCATTCCACAGTTATGGATTTCATAACTCTCGAAGGTATTTAAAAACTTGTTATGTACCACTCTCAACAATTTCAAGCATTCCTCGCTTATTTTGTGGCCATTCTTTATACAAAGTTCACACATGCAAGTTGGAATCTGGAACTTTCGTTTAAAAAAACTGTTTGATGAGAGACACCTTCGGAAAATTTCTCTGGTATTTCCTATCAGAAATGTGAAGTGACTGTACACTTTCCATATACTCCTGCAGATATAAATGGAGACTAGTTTGAATTTAGGAATTGGTTTACTTCATTTCCTGAAGACGCCAACTTGGTGGGTGAAACGTGTCGAGAAGAGTATTGCATTTCTGGTGATTGGTAAAAGTGTTTGGTTTTTGGATTTATTACACACTACAGGTTTCAATTTTACCAATTTTCTCTCACGTGAAAAATTTAATTGGTTTTATTGAAATAAGGTATCCTTAAAAATGATCAAGGATGAAGAATAACTTTAACCCTGTCGGCGTGATTTTTGAAAATGAATTAGTGCTTGAATACAAGCACTAATTAATAGAAAAGTAGCTTTGGGATTCTTTATTCACTTTTCTTAAGTTGTCCCACAGTTTAAATCATGAAATCCTTGTATATAAATTACAGAGGAATAGTATCAGGAGATACGCTCTCAAATGATTTTTATCGCTCCTCTAGGTATCCACAAATCAAATGTAATGCTCTTGATCCATCGTCTGTTGGTGTAGGAGTACCACAAGGATCATTATTGGAACCCACTTTATTTCAATGCAGTTTCTTTTTATAAATAATAACATTGACGAATGGATGCACACGTAAATCATTTGTCTTCAAAGCTAGCACAAATGAGCTATGTTCTTTGCATATTTTTTCAATAGTGCAGCAGATAAAGATATTTTGGCTGTTTCCACTCCAACCTGAACCAAATATATTTAATGATTATTTTGTAAACATACCTAAAGAAACAATAGGAAATATACAACACCTAAATCATCGAATTAAATATCCACAAAATAATTTTCAAACAGAGAGTATGTTTGTTCAATATGTTTCTGAGATAGATGTTCTCAATGTTATAAAATATAAAATTAAAAATAAGCCCTCCTGTGGTTATGATGGAATTTCAGCTGTAATATTAAAAAAAATTGCAGAATACATAGTTAAACCTCTAACTCACGTGATTAATAAGTCTCTTGAGGACGGGATATTCCCAACAAAATTGAAAACTTCATTAGTGTCTCCTATTTTAAAGAAAGGTAATCCATCTGACATATCTAATTATAGACCAATCACTATTCCATCAGTAATATCAAAAGTAATTGAATATGTGGTTCTAAATCAACTGGTATCGTTTTTAGAGAGGAACAAAGTTATTATGGATAATCATCATGGTTTTCGTAGCCAATACTCTACTACAACAGCAAATATCTCCTTCTATGAGAAAGTATTAATAGCTACTGAGAAGGGTGAAAATCCAACAGGAATATTTTGTGATTTAAGTCGAGCTTTTGATTGTGTTCAACACGAAATTCTGCTTGATAAGTTATATAAATTTGGTATAAGAGGTAAAATTCATGACTGGTTTAGCTCGTATCTGAAAGGACGAAAACAAATTGTAAAAATCTCTCATTGTGGTAAAACATCTCGGTCATCTCCTCAAAGAAATGACATTGGGGTACCTCAAGGCTCCATTCTGGGGCCAATACTATTCGTCTTATATATTAATGAGCTACCTCTGATCTTAACTGATGCATTCACTACATTGTATGCAGATGACTCAACGCTACTTTTTACAGGAGAAAACTCTGAAATTCTGAAAACAAAGTTAACACCACAATGCTCAACTTTTCAGTCTGGTCCTCTGATATGTCTCTTATTTTTAATACAAACAAAACAAATTGTGTAACTTTTCATACTCATCAAAACAAAAACGTACCGCCATTAAATATCAACATTAATAACGCATGCATTTATAGTACTGAAAGTGTTAAATTTCTTGGAATTTTTTTGGGCGAAGACTTATCATTTCGAACTCACTGTCTACAGCTTTCTAAGACACTGAACTCAAAATGTTACCAAATCAGAAATCTTAGATATACATTGAACTTGAATCATCTCCGTTCATTCTATTTTGCAGAAGTTCAATCAAGAATAAACTATGGTATTGCAGTCTGGGGTGGATCAGCATATGCACGAAATGTTTTTCTGGCTCAAAAGCGCATTGTTAGATGTATTGCTAGAGTCTCATTTAACCATAGTTGTCGTGACCTTTTCAAAAACATGAGGATTTTAACAGTTAGTGGTATTTTCATTTTAGAACTTTTGAAGAATATACACAAAGCTCGTAACGACCATATGCGTGTAGATGAACTACACAATTATGATACTAGACAGAAAGGCAACCACGGAGGCAACCACGGAGTGTTTTCTTTGCGAAAAAGAGCTAGAGTTGGACCTTTAGAATCTTGCAGAGATCATTTCAAGACTCCGCTGAAATCTAGATAACAACCATCTAACTAAACACTTCTCTTTCTTGCATAAAAGAGGTCTAAATTCAGATGGCTGTAGGCTGTTCAATGTTATTTTTCAGTCTATACAGGCCCCTTGAAATACATTCACATAAAAAAAAATTAAAATATTTCATCAAGATGTTGTTTATACATTGGAGGAGTTTTTCTCTTGACTTTTGAAGATTACAATTTTTATTCGTTGATACTATTAGTATTATACATCAAAATATACATCCTATGATCTACACAATCAAATAAATGAGCAAACCAGAATAACACCTCATTCATCTATATTATTGGATAACATCTTCATTAACTTTGAAAAAAAATATCCGGGTGAGACGATAACATCTGCATTATCTGACCATGAGGGCCAATTACTTATAATTAAATCCCTACCTAGTATTGACAACAAAAAGTCAAAAATCAAGAAGAGAATTTTCTCAGAAGTGAAACTATCACAGTTAAAAAATGAAACATACAAAAGATACTGCACAGTACTTGAAAAAGTAGTACAGGAAGCAAAAAAAATGGCCAATATAAAATATCTGCAATCATCTTCTAACAGGTCTAAAGCAGTATGGAATCTATTAAAGAACTATACTGGTGGTGGAAAGAAGCAGCTTGATTCTGTAATAGATAATGTTTTTCCAAATGAAAGTAACAAAACAAAAGCACTTTGCAAAGTCAACAATTTTTTCATACATAATTGTCCAAATATTACAAATCAAAATCATGGAAGTGGTTTTCTAACCTCTCCCATTTACAAACAAAGCATATTTTTCAAACCTGTTGATTCGAAAGGAATATATGACATTATCAAAAACCTTAAGAACACTGAATCAGTAGGCGAAGATGGAATCCCTGTTAAATTACTGAAACATATAGCACATGAGATTCGTGAGCCTTCATCACATATAATTAATCTATGTTTTTCAACGGGTATTTTTCCAGATAATTTAAAAATAGCATGTGTGAGAGCTATATATAAAAAAGGCGAAGTAAGTGAGCTCAACAACTACAGACCCATTGCACTTCTTCTCAATATCAGTAGAGTTTTTGAAAAATGTATATACATGAAATTAATAACCTTTCTGGAAGGTAATAATCTTCTGTCTGATACCCAGAATGGTTTCAGGAAAAAGAAATCAACCATTAGAGCAACCTATCAGGCTTTATGTAACATAATAAATTCCATCAACAAAAATAAAATTACAACAGCTGTTAATTTGGACCTGTCAAAAGCCTTCGATAGTGTTGAGTATGAAATATTGGGTGTCAAGTTGTCAAATTATGGTATACGAGGTTTGCCTCTCAAATTAATAAAATCATATCTGGAAAATAGAAGGCAGTGCGTGATTCAAAGGGATCAAATAATCGGCGAACTAATAACATCCAATAAAGAGAAAATAATCAGAGGGGTACCCCAAGGGTCAATCTTGGGACCTTTACTCTATATATTATATACTAATAACGTATCAGACGCTGTGAATGAATTTATGGTGCAATATGCTGATGATTGCTCTGTGATTTTTAGTTCAGATGATGCTTCTTCTGAAAAAACCAATATTTTTCCCCCATGAACCTGCTAGAAGACTACTTTTCAGCCCATAATCTGAAATTAAATACCAATAAAACGCATGCCATAACGTTTACACGAAACGGTACTAGTAGTGTTTGTAATCTCAGTAATTGATCAACAACATTGGAATCTTCTCCTCAATTGTCTTTTCTGGGCTCAACAATTGACTCAAAATTGAACTGGAAGAGTCATATAAATAATATTGCAACAACTTTATCAAGATACTGTTTTGCTTTGAAAGTCATATCACAAAATATTTCTCAAAATGCAGCACTACTGGCATACTATGGATACGTTGAAAGTCGCATTAGATATGGTATCATCCTTTGGTATCATCCTCAGCGAATTTCATTCTACAAAAACAATGTTTGAGAAAAATTTTCAATCTACCTAGAACAGAGAGTTGCAGGGAAATATTTACTGAAAAGAGAATTATTTACTCTTACAAGTATGTATGTGTATGAATGTATTATTTTTGTTAAAGAAAACATGTCATTATTTGAAATTTTTGATAGGAATCACTCTCATAATACCCGCAATAAAAACAGTCTTCTCAACTTAATGCACGTTTTTCTTTTGTACAGAAAAATGTTCCTTTTTCTGTGATAAATATTTATAACAAAATACCTGATTCCATCAAAAACTTGCCTGTTAGAAAAATTAAAAAGGAACTGAAAATCATGCTTTTATCAAAGGCTTATTATTGGGTAGAAAAATATTTCGCTGATAGACTTTGAATTGTCTGCCTGTTTATATTCTTTGTCTGATTGTTTGTATACTTTTACAATGTTATTATTGTACTATATGTTTGTCTGAAATGTTTTGTAGTATGCAAGGTGTTTATTTTTATATATATATAAGAAACAGCACGGGGATTGGAACGGGTGTGCAGTCGGAGACAAGAAAAATGAGAACTCTTTTTTCTGTTCAAGCTTTCGAGACTTTATTGACTCTTCTTCAGGAACTCTAGATGATAAGATGAAAATTTAACAATTGTCAAAATTTGTTGTACATTACTTACGAAAGTTGAGGTTATGTATATGAAGCAAGCACGAGAATTGTTTTCTTAAAACACTTTGAAAATGTGATGATTTATGAACACTCATGATACTGGATAACTGGTTAAGACTGAGAACATTATAATAAAATGTGGATGGCACTAATAACATTAGATTGTTGTAAAATAAAATTTTTTAAAATTTTTATACATCTTGTGAAAGGGACATGTCCAAGTCAACTGTCAATTGTCTTGTCAAAAAATATTTCTTCTTCTTCTTCTTTTTCCATTAATGGCTTCAGCTGCCAGGGCTATCCAGCCAGGAGTTCCAGGAGCATGTTGCTACTACAGGTGGAGTCCACACTAAAGTGGATCTGAGTTGGACCCAAACCCCACTTGGTTTTGCGCTATAACAAAGTTCGACTGTAGTTTGAGGTCAGTTAACAAGCAATGTCCGTCTGCATTAGAGTGTAAGCACTAATGTGAGGTGAAGCACTACGGTTACGTGTATGGACACTACGGTTACGTGTATGGACACTACGATCAGGTCATGATTGGCGAAGCACTGCATGCACACAAGTATTAGGTCTGTCTTAATCACTACAGCTTTATATTGGATGCAATCAGGAATTTGGATATGGTTTGTATGTTAGATGGTGATATATGTTTGAAAAATATATCGTGGAAGGTAAGAGGCTGAATGGTTGAAGGAGGGATGCTAAGAGAGGCATGTTGAAATATTGGAAGAGGAGAAAAGAAAAGATCCATGTCTGTGGTATGGAAAGCAAAAGTGACTAAGTTTATCATCAGACAGGAATAAAGTGCAATTGAAATTTGTGATGAATTTTCAAAAATAAATTGAATAGAATTTTGTTATGGTTAACATCTTGGAAGAGTGAACAGTTGTCCTGTCATTTACAGCACACTGTCACAAATTTCAATTGCACTTTATTCCTGTCTGATGATAAACTTAGTCACTTTTGCATTGCATACCACAGACATGGATCTTTTCTTTTGTCCTCTTCCAATATTTTAAAAAAATATTTTTTGACAAGACAATTGACAGTTGACTTGGACATGTCCCTATCACAAGATGTATAAAAATTTTAAAAAATTTTATTTTACAACGATCTAATGTTATTAGTGCCATCCACATTTTATTATAATGTTCTCGGTCTTATCCAGTATCATGAGTGTTCATAAATCATCACATTTTCAAAGTTTCATCTAGAGTTCCTGAAGAAGAGTCAATAAAGTCTCGAAAGCTTGAACAGAAAAAAGAGTTCTCATTTTTCTTGTCTCCGACTGCACACCCGTTCCAATTTTATATTTTTTTCATCCATCATAAATGTCTTACTAATGTTTACTTACACTTAACTCATGTTTTGACATGGTTACATTAATTTTTCTTACTGTACCGTATTATTTTGTAACTGAACTTTTTGATTTTGAACACAAAATTTCCACTTTGAACTGGAAATGTCCAAGAAAGAAATAAAAAAACATTTGGCCCTTCTGCGCTTTTGTAGTATGATTCCACTCATAAACTGGATGTATCTTCGACTGAATAATTCAAGTAAAATCTGGCTAGAATTGAAGTCGCACGATAAAAACAAAGCCTTAACCAATTTATAAAAACAATGTCACTTAATTGAATATAATATAATCGATTATAAAGGTACAAAAGTTTCATAAAGGAATTGATTCATTAGAATAATAACTTAAAATGCCCCGACTAAATATATTTTCACCAAATAACAAGAATATAAAGTTATAAAGAGGACAGGTCTCAAACCCATCTAACTCTCCAAGCGCTAGATTCCTTGAACAAGCTAAGAGACAGAATTTTTTTTTAATGAAAACATTAAAGCCACCAGCCGGCGCTCTCACAATTTGGGGCCTTGAGGTCTCATTATGAAATTACAGAATGTCAGCTCGTTTCCCACAATCGACTTCCTACTGCTCGTCCTTATCCTTGGCACCGTGCTTTAAAATACGAGTAAACTCAACGTAATCAAACAGACCATTTTTGATGGGAGCTTCCCGATACATTTCGTCGACTTCATCATCCGTGAATCGGTCACCCATAGAAGTCAACAGTTCTCTGAGACGTTCTTCGTTGATCACCCCGTTATTATCTTCGTCAAAACATCCAAAGGCGTTTTTGATGACATCCTCAGGATCGGTACCTTGAAGACGTTCTCCAAACAGGGTTAGAAACATGGTGAAGTTTATTGGTCCAGGAGCTTCATTCATCATGCCGTCCAAGTAATCGTCATTTGGATTCTTTCCTACAAAATTTATACAAATGGATTCAGTATAATAAATATAAACTCATGAGAGCATTTACAGATTCTTATAAAACGTTCAGACAGTTTGCAGGTGGTTTGAAAGTAACAAAATGTTCTTAAATATCGATAAGTGCTCAGTTATAACATTCACAAGGAAAATTAACTATATTTCTGCTTCTTACAAAGTAGAAAATGTTCCACTTATGCGTAAGTCTGAGTGTAAGGACTTAGGTGTTTATTTTCGAAGTAACCTCAAATTCAACACTCACTATGAATATATTGTCAACAAAGCCTATAAGATTCTTGGTTTTGTTATTAGAAATACAAAAAACTTTAGAGATGTTGGGTGTATTGTAAAGTTATTTAATGCTCTAGTTAGACCTCATCTTGAGTATGCTTCTGTTATTTGGTCACCACAGGGAGAGACCAACGCAGATTTGATTGAAAAAGTTCAAAAAAGATTTCTTAGATATCTTTATGTCAAAATTTATGGCTGCTATCCCATTATGGTGTCTTACAGAAGCATGCTCAAGGAATTTAACATTGTTACTTTACAGAGCAGACGTGCATTACAGGATGTTCTTTTTGTATACTATATAATTAATAATGTAAAGTACAAGGGATCATCTCTGGTCAACTATGTAAAATTGTTGGTGCCTAAGATAAACCTGCGTAGACAGGACAAGAGAATATTCTTTATCGCCAATCACCCGTATGCTAAATCATTGCAAAATTTTAACTGAAAATAGCACCGTGGATCTTTTTACTAAAACAAATGCCAAAGAGATAAGGCCTACTTTTTCTCACAGCCGGATTAATTTCTAGGTATTGGGTAACTTAATTTATAGGTACTTGTATACATTTTAAAAATTGTGATAATTTATTTGATTTCTTTTTTGTTTCCTTTTATATTTACTGTTTTGTTTTATTTTAGTTAGTAGTTCTTAAGCTTATTTTGTTACTGTACTTTTATCTCTCTTACTTTTAATTACAATTCAATATTGTGTTTGTAGGAGTAAAAAGTAAATAAATGAATAAATAAATATATTTCACTAACATATTCAGCAGTCGGTAGTCACTCAGTTGAGGTGGGTGGTTTGCTCTACTCATTCAATTGACCACTATCGTACAACTCGTGTTAGGAATCACACGTTGAAAGGTAAGACCTCGTAAGTCCTTAGCTCGTACAAGTTTTGACTTTTAAGAGTGGTCGTTCGTAGATGGGCGACAACTGGTTAACGGAAAAATAGATTTTTAACAGAACAGACAGACAGATATATCGATTTTGATACCTTTCTGGTGAAGCCTGCTGCTAACAGCAGGTTAAACAGCAATTTTTTTTTGAATTTCATATCATAGATAGATAAAGAAGTGATCATTTCCTGAAAAACGACTGTTCACTGTGAAAAACACAGTTTTGTTCATCAATAACGATATCGAAATTATGGGCGATCTTAAGCAAAACTTTGACCGTGTTTCCCATTATTTAGTCTTCTTCGCCTCTTGCAGACGCCAACTTGGTTGGTGACAAGCATGTCCAGAAGAGTGTTGCAGTTCTGGTGTTTGAGATCAGTGCTTGTTTTGTGGTGTTCACCAAAATATTTCATTGCAAAAATTTCAGAAATAATACTTCTCGAGAGATAGACATCAATATATTTCTCATGAAAAAATTGAATCAAAAACTAGAATTGGTAAACACCAAGGCCTACAAAGGTCAGTGCTTTTCATCATATGCATGAATGTCTTTCATATTGTACGCACATGACTTCACTCATCTATTGAATAATGAAAGGGTCAATTGAAAGAATATCTGAGAAAACACTGGAATATAGCGAACACTATTTCTATTGAAACTCCACTGGAATTCGAATCAATCCGATGAGTGTGTCAACAAGAGATATATGCGTCCAAGAATAAGAGGGCCAGATGGAAAAATCGCAAACTGAGAGGATTGCAAAGTCAGTTAGATTGGGGAAAAGTTGTCCGTTTTTCATATTTCTTTTCCTAGTCAATCGAATAACTATTGTAACAGAGAAGTAACAGATTGCTGAGGCGATGAAACTAGCCAAGGCAGTAAAGCTATTTCTCTGCGAAGTGAAACATATAATTTTTTCTCTGATAATTTTACAGTGCGTTCGAAAAATCAAAATAAAAGGAGTTACAATGAAACAGTATTCGCACATTACTATAAATATCCACAATGAACATTAATATTATAAAATTTCATCTACTTACATTTCATTTTTGTTATGTTCTATATTTTGATTTATTTATTATTGTTACAATTGAAATTGTAAATATCTACTTACTGAGATTTTGAGATATAATTTTTGTCAGCCTGGCTCAAAAAAAGATTGAATCGATTCTTATCTGATCTTGATTATGAAAAATTTGCTCAGCTATCCAGGACCATAAGATGGGAAATGAAGGATATTTCATCAGCAACCAAATTCAAAGCAGAAATAAAGTATTCACAGGGCAAGCTGTTTTACATGTTAGACAGTTATCATGTTGATGTTTTAGATTTTCTGTCGTTTTATTCTGTATGGTTCTACATTTAAGTTTTCGATCTTTCATGTATCCATTGACCAATCCTATGTCATGTACGTCATTGATAAGGATTAATAAATATATCTGAACTTCAAAAGGAAGTAACGTGGTCTTCAAACTGAAAAAATTATAACAAAAAAAAAAGTTCTCACCTAACGATGCCAACATGTCGTGCAAGTCTTCCTTGTCAACAAAGCCATCATGGTTTTGGTCGATCATGTTGAAGGCCTCTTTAAACTCTGCAATCTGCGCCTGGTCAAACATTGCAAAAACATTTGAAGTAGCTCTCTGGGCACGTTTCTTGGAGGTCCCTCGACGGCTAACGGTTTTGCGAGAAGACATTGTCTGCAAAGCAATATTGATCAAAGTGGTAATGGATTTCTTCAGTTTCTGTGTATGAATGAATGAAAAAGTAAAATATGATGAAAGTTATAGTTGTATTTGATATAGTTGATATTTCCACTACCGAATCAATACAAAAATTACAAAATAAAACAATAAATTACATTTTCAAATTTGATTATCTGGAACCAACTAAAAATGTACATTACTTCATTTTGACAATCGCCCACATACCCCTCTGAAATGAATGGTATTTTAATACAAACTCGAAGACAAAGAGATATTTGGAAAGCCAAAGCAATGTACGTAAAACTTCAGTCAGATTAATGGTTTCTTCAACAACAAAAATTATAGGACGAAAATTATGAATATGAAATTTCATGAGACTCCAGTGCAATAAATCCATGAAAAACTTTAAAAAAAATAATAATGAAGGGTCCCATTTTATTCTGGAAACTTTAAAACTTAACAAAGTGAGAATTCATTATTTATTATTAACTGTTGCGGACATAGATAGACTGAAAAATAATATGAAATAAAATTCAATTCCACGCCCAAATCAAACAAATATAAGTACCTACTCACCGATTCTTGAAATTTCAGTAGGTCACAGAAAGATGATTTGAAATTATTCACAAGGTAGGATTAAAAAATGGAATGAAAACTGAAAATTGTTAAGATGGCGAGTAAATAGAAATTATAATACAATTCCAAAAAATTACTAATAACGCCCAGCTGAGTCAGTAACAAAAAACAAATTACAGAGTTGCCAACAAAGTGTACTATCACTCTGAGAAAGAGAGAGGGCACTTAATAACGTTGACATTATGAGTCAGAATTTGTCAAATATCGTTTGGGATATGTCTAATACTACGGAGTTCGTTTCTTTAACCTGACACCAAGATTAAGAACCGTAAGCTATCATGAGGTAAATTTGAAGCACTCTCGGTTTGAAAAAGAAAAAAATATTGGTAATAATGAGAGGTGTTGATACTATGAAACCCAATGATTTCAAAATGATATAAATGTATATGAATACTTTGACTTTTCAATTTCAATATGGATGTGCAAGTTTATTCAGTAATGTCTGGTGAAATTCAAAGAAAAATTTACTCAAATTGAAATATTTTTGATGACTGATCGGTCATATGAATGCGCAATAAACAGCGTTGAATAAACTTATCTAACTTAACTTCAGCGATCACTTTCTCAAGTCAACAGGTAACGAAATGTAACGTCAACTTCAGTTGGCTGTGCGGATATAACAGATTTTATTCTGTATTCGATATAGTTATCGAGTGGGATATGTCAAAACAGAGTACGATATTCGCCGATTAAAATTTGATAAAGACTTCCCAATCTAAATATTTATAATTATCATTGTAGAACTTGCAACGGCTCATTTATTGTTTTTCCGGACCCGGGGTACTAGACACAATGTCCAAGTCCATTTTGTTTTACTTCAGAAAAATGAGAATTGCCCCTTCTTAATATAAAGTGAGGTTCAATTGAATATTATATTCGTGGAGAGAGAAATAAATGGCAAATATAACAAGCTGTCTTGCATAACATGCCTTATATGAGTATACCAGATTAATCTGAAATTGTTACCATATAAGGAGAAAGAAAATTGACCTACTTCCATTTAGCTATCCAGCATCAAGTTGTACACAGGGTGACTAATACGTAAATTCCAGTGAAATCAGTTATTTGGCTGTGTTATAGGGTGAGTCTAGAAAGTGGTGGCTCATCTTGATTAGAAAAGAAACTGCTGTTATGGCCATTTCACGCGACTAGATTACCATCCTTTTTCTATGACTACAAAGTCTTTCCATTCAAGATTGAAGAAATCATTCAACTTGAGTGGAATAATTTCTAAGAGATGGACATCCATCGAAGAGGATGTGGCTTTATTTATTTCTTTATACACAGCAATTAGGATAAACTCTTAATTTGTTGGATTTGTACCTTGTTGTGATGATCATTACTTTTATATCAGAAACATGAAGTTTATTCTCTTATCAAATATTAGATAACCTTGAAAATTGTATTGCAATATTGATATTTTCATCAGAACAAGCTAGCAAAGCATTAAATACTTCATCAGAGGAAATTCCTCCAACTCCAACACTTTGCAATGTAGTAGACACTTTATTCAATGTGTTCCTTTAAAAAATATACTCTTACTTTCGAATGTGTCTTGTGTTAGTTGAGAATTACAAATACACTTGGGTCGAGAAACAATACACATGCATCATCAATAAAATAAGTTAAAAAACACTTTAATATAGCATCCTTTTCTTTTACAAGTGGAAACGGGAGACAAAATAGTGATTGTTTGAGAGAGCTCTTGTTTGAATGATTGATACATTAAAAAGAGGAAGCTTTACAAAGGTGAATTATCAGCGTGTTACTATGGAGGCACAAATGTATTGGCATGTGTATTCTTTCATCTACCCAGCTGTACATTCAAATTATTTTAGACTGGTGATTAATTGGACATCATGAATAGAAGCTGAGGAAATGTAAGTTAGCAGATGAAACGCCAATAAACTTTTTGAATAATTTTTATTTGAATGTTATATGATCCTACATAAGTATACATTTCAGATTCATAAATACTCAAAATACTGTAAACATTTAACATATTCTCATCTTTTTATATCTACATCTTATCTGCAAATTTAAATGACTTATAATCAAGCATTATTGTAAATAGTTGTGAGTGAATAATTTCTCTTACGGTCAGTCCCACCGAATATCACATTCTTGTGTCAAACAACAAATGAACCAACCCAAGTAGACAAACAGTATGAAAAACTGTGTTCAGCAACACAATTCAGTTCCATGATATCCTACATATTAATTAACAAGCGAGATTACTGTAATGGCAGATATCCCGGAACATAATTTAGTTACTGCTTAAATATTAAAAGTATATCTGCTCTTTGGTTAATTTGAGTAGTCTTATTGCTAATGCCAAACAAACAATTTTCTTTACCAGTTTCCAAGTTCAGTACTACACAAAATATTAACATACAATTGATTAAAATGATATACAAATCGAGACATTTTATATGAATAATTCAAAGGTTTGAAAAGAATTGTTGTTTATTGTCTTCAAATTGATAAATAAAAATCGTTAGACTGTAAAGCTATAAACCTAAAGAACAAGTTATCTAAGTCTAGTGCAGTTAGGCATTTTTGAGTTCAAAATAAGATTCACAGTTGAAAATTGACAATTCTCCAGTCCAATTGAGCCTTAGGTTTTCCAAATACATCCAAACCTTTGGTTAGGGGCAAAATTAACTCAAAATTCACCTCCGTGTTAACACTTTTTCACTTGATGATCTGATGAATTCGGAAATGATTAAAATTATTGCAAATTTGATATGTTGAAATTATTTGCTTTACAATAAATGTATTTGTGGATGAAAACAAAAAAATAAAAAATATCCTCTCAAATTTAACTACTTAAAAATGTCACGAAAACTATTGTACGACTGAAGTCAATTGTCAATCGATTGAAAAAAAAAAATTATGGTAAGTAGGTTCATGTACCGAAATAAAACTTTTCATTCTGTTGATTGAAAAACAATCTTGCAGCTACCATAAAGTGACTCACCTTTCCAAGTTATATAAACAAATTCCTAGCACAATAACTAGTGTAATATATTTTGAACAACAAAGAACATCAAAAAAACATATTTATATTAATGTATACGATACAAACTACAGAAAATTCTACTAGAGCATATGTTACTTAAAAGCAAGGCATGACTACTAGGGAGGTCCTATCAAATCAGGGAAAATCAGATTCAAAAGTTTCATAACTACAAAAAGAGTATAACGCTGCCTGAACTGCACAGATTAGGACAGTTTATTTCTAACTGAAGTGTAATTTGTTAGAGGTTTATGAATATATTCTCTCTACTGATTTTTTTAAATCGTCCCCTAACATTTTTTCTAAGAGAGACCACTCAGTATCGCAAAGTTTAATGAAACTCTAATAAATTTTTTTGGAGACTCATTCAAGTTATATAGTTGGAAATAAATAAAGACATAGAGTTCCCCACAAACAGTGCGGGGAACTTTGAAAAGCAAAAAGACAGTGTCAAGAATGTTAGTAACAGGTTAATGAAAAACTCTTCTAAGATAAAAGGTCACAATTTTTAAGTATCATTATATATTTGTCTTATCTAAACTAGATTAGAAGCAGACAGTTTTTTGATGGAAGAATAAAATGGTATCCAAGAGGGATGCATTTCTTGTTACAATATGTTTTTGGAGTAGAGTAGAAATAGAGAAAACAAAATCCGGATTTTGTTTTCTTTAATTGTGATTCTTTAATTTCATATTCTTAGATCCACCCTACTTTTTATTACCTTATATTGTTGCCCAGTTGCAGGTACTGTTCATTCTTGAATTCAAGTACATGTTCAACATAAAAATGTACATCAGTCAAACGGTTATTTCTTTTCAATTCTATTACATCATTGGATTGAAAATGTAAAAAATGTAACGTGATATTATTAGTGATTTCCCAATAAATTGATATAACCAAGGACCATGGTGAGTGAGTATTCCTAGCAGAATTATCTGTAGTGTCTAAACAAAAAACAAAACCGAGCTCCAGAAACCTTAATCTCTGGAATGGCCTATTATCGCCAATATGTACATGAAAATATTGATGACATCAACATACAGATTGATGGCTGCAAAAATGTACTCCTCCGGAGAGATGGAATACTTATGCTTGCCGCCCATCATCAGCTGAGTGTCGTAGACCAGATACACCGAGAATATTAACGCTCCCAAAGAAGCGTACACCATTTGCACTATCTTGTTGTGGAAGAAGATGGCGACGATGCCAAAAATGAAAAGAATCAAAACTGCCACAAAGAGAATTCCCCCCATCATGGTGAAATCCCACTTCGTTTGGAATGCAAACAAAGTCAACCCGAAGCAAACGGCGGCCGTAATGCCGACAGCCATTGCGACAGCATCAGCCTTGTAGGTTGAAGCTGCAGTCGCCAGCATGAAAGATTCAGCCACGGTGAATATGAACAGAAATATGAAATTCATAGGAGCCTTTCTGCGAATTTCGCCACAGCAAGCCAAGCATATTAAGGTAACAAACACTGTAGCAAGAGAAACGTAGAACAACGCCGGATTATTTTGGACGTATTTCTGACTGGGAACGTGGTAGAGCAGCCAACAAATGAATGCCAAGGTTATCGCTAGCTGAACGGCAAGGATCGAGTACACTTTTCTTATGAATCCTCTTCGAATTGTCTGGTCGCTGAAGCCGAATCCTTTCACCTCGGGATCCTCGTAGCCAGCTCCTCCGTAGGTTCCTTTAAAATAATAATTTTTAAAGTTTTTTCAGAGCTTTTCACATACAGCTATAACTGGTACTATAACATTCTCATAAAATAATACTAGGATACTGCCATCCTTCGCCAAGTTACGTGGGATTAATGAAGATTATTATTATTATATCAATCAATCAATCAATTTATTCATTGTGAATGAAACATTACAACGTCGTTATTTCCTTGGTATTAAAATTAAAATACATATACACAGAGATGCACAGATCAAAATAAAATAAATATATACAAAATTATGATGCACATGTAAACCTACAAGAGATGTAGTACATGTATTATTCATTTATAAAATCTTCTATTGAATAGAAACATTTTTCTATTAGGACATTTTTCAGCCAGATGGAGAATTCATTCGAGTGTTTCTTTTTTGCATAGTCTGGAATTTTATTATATAATTTTGCGCCCCAATAATCGCATCCTTGCTGTGTTTTCTTCAATCGATGAAGAGGAACTTGCAGTAAATCTTTATTTCTGGTATCATAAGAATGATTGAGTACATTTTTTGAGAACATCTTTGGATTTGCGTGAACATATTTTAGACAACTATATATATATGCACTGGGAATGGTGAGGATTCTATGTTGACGAAAAGCCTCTTTGCAGCTATCTCTATATGCAAGTCCGCATAGATATCTGATGGCTTTTTTTTGCTGAACAAATATTTTGTTTGAATCAGAACTTGTGCCCCACAAAAGGATTCCGTCAGTTGCTATGCTGTGAAAGTTTGAAAAATAGGTTATTTTAGCCGCTTGATGTGTTGAAATTGTTTTCATTCTCCTTATACAATATATTGCTGAATTAAGCTTCTTACTCATTTTGCTTATTTGTACCTTCCAATTTAGTTTTGAGTCCAGATGTATTCCAAGGAATTTTAGTGATTTTTCCTCTGTATTGTTTTTGCTTGAAATCATTAGCCTTTGAGTTTTTTCTTTGTTTAGCAGGAGTATATTTGCCGTAAACCAAATATCTGCTTCGGCTAGAACTTGCTCTGTCTGTTGTCTTATGTCACCTTCATCTTTGCCTTTAACTAGAAAAGTTGTATCATCTGCATATGCACTTGATGCATAAACCTTGATATTTTCGAGAAGATCGTTTGTGTAGATGATAAACAGAATTGGCCCTAAAATAGAACCTTGAGGCACTCCTTGAGTTACCGGAATTGTCTGAGATAGTGAATTTTTCCAACATGTCGATTGAAAACGATTTGACAGGTATGACTTGAGCAGTTTATACGAAATTCCTCTTACTCCATAATATGATAATTTCTCTAACAGTATTTCATGGTCAACAGTATCGAAAGCTTTACTCAAGTCACAGCTTGATATCTGGGAGTCCTCTTGATTATCAATGGCATCTATGATTTTTTGAATAATCTCTATCATTGCTGTCATTGTAGATTTTCCTTGCTGATATCCATGCTGAGAGCTGTTGAAAAATGCTGAACTGTCAAAGAACTGGACTAATCTCTTTTTGATTACCATTTCGAAAATCTTTGATATCACTGGTAGAATTGAAATGGGTCTAAAGTTATTTGGAATATCTTCCCCTTTTTTAAAAACTGGTATAACTTTTGCATGCTTTAGTTCATCTGGAAACACCCCTTCGTTTATGCATTTATTGATTATTAATGCAATAGGTTGCGCTATTACATCACCTAAGTCCTTCAAAATTGTGTTTGAAATTCCAAATATATCTTCAGTTCGTTTACGTTTAATTTCATTTAAAATCTATTTAATTTCTTTTTCATCCGCTTCAGAAAAATAGATTGATCGGACATTATCTATATTATTATTTCTCAGCATTTCAATAGAGGGAACATTGATTTTTGCTATTTTACTTGCTGTTTCTGATCCTACCATTGCAAAATAGTCGTTTAACTCATCAGCCATGAGCTTAGATTTGTTGATTTTTGTAATATTCGGTGCTGTTTCAGACTTAATAATATTCCATATTGCTTTAGTTTTGTCGACAGCCTGTGCAATGTACTCTTCATTATACCTCTTTTTTGTTTCTATATACAGGGTGCTCCTTTGAAAACAAAACAAAGCTGACTTCTCATAGTAGGCGTAAAGAAAAAAATGTCTCAGGCACACTGCTTATTCTAAGTGGAATACTTTTATTTCAGGGTAAGATCTACTCCTGTATAAGGGAATAATCAAGTGATGCCTCATTTGCAACAACGTTTTGGAGTTGGAGGTTACATCTAATTTTAATAATTTTACTATGAAGCTATTATATTTTTTATAATTAACAACTGTCAGTTGGAAATAATCAAATTTCCGTATTAGGAAGAAGAATAGTTGCTTTCTTGTGGGGTAGGCAGTATTCGCTAAATCATACTGTGCAGAAATGTAGTGAGAGGTGAATATTTTGAAATTCTATTCAAAATATCTACTTTTATTCCAAATAAAACAACACAGAAATACATCAACCTAACATTCAGATGCCTTAAAAACCAAAAACATTGTGGAAAAAGTCCTCTACATAATGAAACATACATGCCCGCATGACCCTGTATAAATTTTTGGGCATTACCTTCACTAGTCAACAGTACAGTTGATTCAATTGTTTAATAACTCTTTGTTAGAAAAGAGTTGATAAAGAAAAAGGTTCGTTTCCAAATATGGCAGTTTAAAATCTGTTTTTCCATTAATCAGCTGTCGCCCCCATACGAACGACAACTCTCAGAAGTAGAGAAACTTGTGCGAGCTAAGGACTAACGAGGTCTTACTTTTCAAAGTGTGATTCCTAAGACGGCGGTGAATCAATTTGCATAATGAAAATAGATTTATTAACATGAGAACCAACTTCAATAAAAATTTCAAGACTTAGAGAAAAAGACATTGGGATTCCAATGCCTACTTTGGACAATTCGATGAGAAAGAAACATTCATAAATCATTTTTTATTCAATCCTGAGATTTTTATTAGTAGTGATTCATCGAGAGGTATTTGATGTGCATAGAATTGAAGTGGTGAATAATCTTGTTGTTAATAAAGAATATACTTCCAATTGCATAATGTTTCAGATGGAAAAGAGTATCCACTTAATAATGAATTGGGATCTACCATGGTAGACATTTTCTATCACCAAGTTAAATTTACAAACAGATGAAGATAAAAAGTAAAATAATAAGCAAGACAAACAAAACAAGCAAAGCAGTTGTCATAACTAATTTTATTAATTATAGACAAAAATTCTAATTACATTACATCAGCAATATCAGTGTTCTGAGGCAGATAAACTTTATTTGTATCAATTAATAGGTATTATGAATCATCTTCAGATAACTCAAAATGAAATGAACAATGAAATTCCAACAATAAACTTCTCTTGGGTAATATGAATGATGTTTAGAACCATACCCAATATATACAACTTGAGCAATTTTTGATATAGATTTCAAACATACCGCAAGTATGCAAGAAACATCCATTTTCGAATATGACCATCCTGGTGGATATTTATTAGCAATTGGATTGATGGATACAATCCAGTAAAATGTACTCAAAAGTGTTAAATATTGTTTATAATAATGTCCAATTTGGTTTCAAGATATTTTTTATATTGTCCTCTTTCTTCATCAAATTAAGTGATGCTTCAATAGAAAATGAAATTTAGACTCAAAAGAGATAATAACATTATATCACTGGGGCAGAAAGTTTTTTATTACATTTTTAGTTTTCAACTCTTCTTAGCAAAATACTTATATATTAGGAAATGGAAAATATTTTCCTTGTAGGTATATATTATTGTATGATGATATGTGATGGAACTGGCAACATGAAAACGCATGACGTTCACAATGAACTGTTACTTGAACAATATAACGATATTCAAATAATCCTGTCGGTGCTCCAAATAAAACATATTTTTCACCACAGAAAGGCCGACTTTTCAAAGTACATCATCTAGTTATATGAAAGAACTAAAAAACTTTTATGAATTTATACAAATCTACAACTTTTTCAAAGGTAAAATTTTTAATCACGATGCTCAGGTTATTTGTAAAAGAAATTCAGCTTAACCATACGTTGCTATTTGAGTTTCTGAAGTACGGTGGATACCTGTGGTGCCTGATACCAATGATGAGACAGATCTACAGGATGTTGCAAAAAAGATGTTTTTTTGTACCATGAAACATGCGTTTTTGAAACTTCTGAAAAAAAATTTCTCCAACTCATTAAGCTAAGCGAACTCAGATAATCGAATATCACCAAATGTTGCCATATACTTTTGCTACATCATTGTGAAGCAGAAAAATAAATAAATGGAAACAAACCGGCACTACTACCATAGAAGGGTACTTGTTCACCTGCACTGTAAGGGTCACTTTGTCCTCCATAAGGAGGAGGTTGCTGGAATCCTGGTGCAGGTGGGTAGCCACTTGGTGGAGGCATGCCGCCTTGAGGAGGGTAGCCACCCTGAGGGGGATATCCTGGTTGCTGAGGAGGGTACCCTGGTTGCTGGGGAGGGTACCCTGGTTGTTGAGGAGGGTATCCCGGCTGACCAGCATAATATGCTTGATTAGGATCTATCAAACAAAGAAGATAATATTTGAATTGAATAGGGAATATTTTTGGGGGAGACTAGTTAGTTAGAGAAAAAGTTTTTTGATAGAAAAGTAGAAAGCCAAAAAGATTTTTTGCCCAAAATAAAATTTGCCTTTAATAAATACTCAGTAAAAGGTATTGCTTAGATTCAGTTCAATATTTCATGGCAAATAAATTTTGTTGATATTTTGCAGGAATTGAGTAAACAATAGTTTTAGTTCTGGTGCAGATTGAGTCCATTATTTTTAATAAAAAAAAATTGTTTGCATCCTGAGTACCGCTATTTGTGATATTTAATCTCTGGTTTTGGTATTTTGGAAATACACATGTAATGTGAATAAGGATAAAACGCTAATAACATTACAACCGTTATATTCCAAGTTCAATTGGATGAAAAAACCCATTTCCCTCTTTTGCAATGACCCAAAAAACTTAAACAAGAAAGAAAGGTTTATGCAAATCCTGAAGACCTGCCTTCTCATTCAGAGAAAACTAACATAATGGTATTCCTCTAAGCTAGGAGACAGCACAAAAGCAAATACCAACTGTTCATCCAGATTTCATCACAACACTACTACAGTTCAAAGTTACAGAGGTTACTGTCACACTGTGAAAGTAGATAACAATTTTCTCTTTAAAATTTATTTTCTTCTTTATGACTCTTGAAACTTTGAGAAAGTGTTTCTCAATCAATCTTACTACTGGAATGACTTTTTCACTACAAGTGAAAAGAGAAGACAAAAAACTTAATGTTTGCATTTAATCATTCTTTACATGTAAAAGAATAGCTATACAAACATAAATCGTCGGTATTTTCTAACACTTTGAAGTTAGTTGATGACATTACTATTGTTTCAGTTTATATTGTTTGCGTATTGTTTACTGAAAAAAGTTTCTACGATTTCAATTCTTTCACACAACTAAAATAGTTGTTTTCATTATTTTGTCAAATGCACAAATTTATGACTCTTGTGTACTCTTTCTGTGTCCCAACTTTACATATTATGAAAATCATATCATGATTCAGCTTACCTTGACCATAAGGCCCACTATTCCACTGTGACATGATGATCACCTAAAACTGATAGAAAATCGAACAATTAAAAGGCTGAGTTAATATTAGAAAAATAAACAAAGTAGACTACGATGTACATGAATGAGGACTGTCATAAAAATTCCAGATGCGGATGCACACAGCTGTTTCAGTATGCAAATGCCAAGTGAGCAGTCTTAATCAACATGTTCTCTATCATTTCAGTTTATTATATTCCGTTATATTCATCAATACTGACTGTCCATGATGTTCAACATTGAGTATTGAAATGCGCTGACTCAGTTTATGTGACCGAGACATTTTTTCGCAAATGTTTCAGTAGAAATTTAGGAATTTAGAAAAGTGTTGGTTAGAGTCATTACTGCCGTTATGAAAGTATCTCTGCATACAGTAGCCAAAAGGGTATTTTTTTTTACTTATGTGGGAAAAATCACTTTGACCTTATCATATTAACATTACAAACCAGCGCGAAGACTAGTGTTGAAAAAATGGTGCAATTACTGGAAAGTTACAGACAACTTGTGAAAAACATCTTAAAAAATTCTGATGAAGACAAACAGCTTCAACGGCGTTAGCTATCCGCCCCTGGCTGAATGTTATAAACAAGGCTAAAGTTGTAAAAACCAAAACAGAACACCTACACAATATTTATGAAAATTAGAGTTTTATTACCTACAACTCCCACCTGAAATATGAGGAAAAAAGCGATCAAATTAAATTGATTTTTGATTCAAATTAATTTTGTTTTAATATAACTACCAGTCCGAAATAGTTAAGGGAAATACCTAAGATAAAAACGATGATAATGATTCATGGATAATCAGACATGATCATTTACCTACAAGGTAAAAATTGTGAAATATTGATATCATGACATCAATTATTGTCTAGACAAAAAAGTACCTAACTGGTACTCACCTAATCTGTGAATTCTCAAATAAATGAGAGCGAATACGTTTATCCCTTAATCTTCCAAAATATTCTAGATTCACTTTCTAGTATTCTTCTAGATTGCACTTTACTTGTCACTTCTATTTAATCAGAACTTATTTGTATTGCAGCGACACAGGACAACGGTAAATGTCAAAACTGTCAGAAATTAACTTCAATCACAGAACTATTAAAATTATGGGTATTGTGTTATTGGGAATATTTGCACCAGTTCGATCAGTTCGGTGTTGGGGACCAGTGGTTAGTCCATAGCCATCAATTCATTTTTATTGTGTTGTTTGTGTATTTTATATGCAACAGTAGGATCCACCAAATCATAATACTTCAACTCTCCAGAATGAGAGATTATTAAGGCAGTTTATTATTATATGGGTGGATTTTGTGTTTTGTGTATGATTGAAGAATATATTGTAAGAGTGAAGAAGAAAATAATACAAATCATGAAATTATGAAACAACAAAAATTAATTGGCGCTCCGGAGCGACTTCATTGATTCCAGTGGCGCATTTGCTGCAGCACTACAGCACTACATGATGTAGTGCTGCAGCACTACATCATCTGAAGATCTAAGGTGGATTGAATTTCAGTTAGGTTAGATTGATTCGTGTTAATACACAAGTAACTTATTTCAAGTTTGAATTTCCTTTGGGTGATGAATCGGTAAAGATTCAAAAATAAATAAAGTATGAAAAATACATAGAAATTCAATCTAATAATCAGAAAATAATATTTTTATAGTTTCTAGGCGAAAGTAATGTTGAATTAGCGAAATTATCGCGATAATTGATAAATTGAAACATACTTTTTGCAGCGGGAGGATTTTCCGTTTGATAATGAAACTGTCTGAAAGACATACTGTCAACTTCCAGCATTCACTAAGAGCGTGTAGATAAATAAAATCTGATTTTTTTCGGAACTATTTTCAAAATTTTATTCTCCGTTCCTGTATTGACGAGAACGATAAATTTCCAATACAAATGAGATATCAAATGAATTAGTGATATTTACGACAACCTCTAAAATATTTTAGATAAATTCAGTTGTAGAGAAGTCAACCAAACACTTATAAAAAATATTGTTGCATCACAAGGATCATTAAAAAAAACAAAAATCCTCTGAGGAAAATGTGATGAATTTTCTAAATGAAGGATATTTTTATCTGTCCCACTCACCTGTTTCCAAAACTACCTACCAAGAGCACGGATAATTCTTGTAGCTCAAGAGTCCGACAGCTCTTTTGTTGGCTCATTCTGTATTCGGCAGAATTTGCAACTAAGTAATTCCTACATGACGTAGTTCTGGGCAATGAGATAAACTATGTCATATAACTTGTCGTTAACATCTACACAAAGTTATGTACACATTTGAAATTGTAAAAATTTTTGAGAGAAAAATATTTTTTGAGTCAATTCATTTCAATTTTGGTCAATACTGAATGCGGTTCAGAGGCAAAGGTATATTCCCACCTTCTTTTCAAAAACTATCAAGTAAGATATCAATATTGAGTAACTTTTGTACTTGATGTAATTCCTATATTTTTTTTTGTTTCTTTTCCCAACTATAGTTTTCAATATGTATATGAGTATATGGATGTTTTCTGCCTTTGTTGTGATATTAGTTGATGCCTCCAAACCAAGAGCTTCTGACATAAACCACAAAGTACTGCTGACTTATGTTGATATTGTAATATATCAATATACAGTTGATAAATATTTCAATATTTGAGGATGTTGATACTCAAGGAGGAAAAAGTTAGGAAATTTTGGGTCATGAAGATAGAAAAAGATAATAAAAAATGAATACAAATTAAAATGATAGAAAAGAAAAGGAGAGGTAATAAAAAAAGGGAAAGAACAAGGAGAAGGTTGGGTTTTTCAATATGCATATAACTTGAAGAGAATTCTAAGTTGTTTCAAATCTTCAAAAAAGTTCAATTCCAAGTAAGGAAACAGTCCTGAACAGTCCACAAATTTTGAAGTGACAATTTTACAAAATTTCCAACTTTTCACTGTTTTTTCGACTTGGAATTAAACTTTTTTGAAGATTTGAAACAACTTAGAATTCTCTTCAAGTTATGCATATTGCCTACCAGGCGTCAAATCTAATCGACTTTAAAAGAAAAAGGAACACACATTCACAAAACAGAACGCTGTGTTTGTTGTTTGGTATTAAAGCCGTTCTGTCACAGAATTGTGGTTCTATTAAAGTATGACAATCGCTGTCAATTGTCAGTGGTGATTTAAGGTGTTTGTGCTTAACAAGTTCCTGGATAATAATTTCAACCCAAGTGTGCACGGGCCCGCCCTAGGTCCACTTAAGTGTGGCCACTTTTGGATTTAACAACAACGTTCGTTACTAACTGGCCGGATAGCCTTAGTTGCTGATGCCATTGAATCGAAAAGAAGAAGAAGAAGATTTAAGGTGTTACATTGGGATGAATAAATAATCATCTATTTCTTAGATTTTTGTGGACCTAAATTCAGTGACAAAAAACGGGATTTCAAAATGACAAACGTTAAATTTACTGAAAATGCATATTGCAAAATGGTGTTACATGCTACTAAATACCCTCACTGCAGTGTTAATGGAGTACTTTTATCAAAAACGTCTCCTTTGAACAATAATAAAGAGATAGAATTTGTGGATGCAGTTCCCTTATTTCATATTTGTCTAAATCTAACACCGATGGTGGAAATAGCTCTAATGCAGGTATCTTTCTCTGGTGAATCATAATTTTCACTATTTCTACTTCGCCTTTTCTGCTTCAGATTGATGAATACGCTTCGAAGAAGGGATTAACTATATCAGGTTATTATGTAGCTCCAGAAAATGTTCGAGAAGATTCTTTTGACAAGTTGTATAACAGGATTTCTGATAAAATTGCTTCAAATTGTACAAACTCCTATGTTGTCATTGTGAGTACTATTTGCGCAAGTTCTTTTTCTACTATAGTGCAATATATTAAATGTTATCCTATTCTATTTTGATAAATCAACGAAAAACATTTCAAACACAAAATTGAGTAAAATTCAATAAGTCTGATAACTGTTAAGGTAATTTATATGTAATTTTAACATTATTGAACTTATATTCGGTACATTCACTTTTCTCAGTGTCTATACTTGCTAATAAACAAGTATTCTGGCTATTACCAAGACACACATTCAATTATATCTTTCATATATTTGGGAATAACATTGATTTAAAACCGAGTTGTTGGTATCCACAATTGGTTTCGCCTGAAGATATATCTCTTCAATGGTTAGTTTCAATAAATTAGTTTCTATTATTTTCCAAATCTAAATACTGTTTAATCTTTCATGTTGAAAGGTTGTCACTTTTGAATAATTGAATTACACAATTTGCCATCTTTGCCATTGACTTTGATTTTAGGTGAATACTACAAGTACAAGCATCCAAAAGGGAAGAAGAGCTCTGAAAGTAGCTCAGTATGCTGATGGAACTTACCGCCAGTGTGAAGATTTGAGTGTTTCTGATGATGCAATAAATATATGCCTTTCTGCACTTAATGGTTCATTATATAATAACTTGGTAGATTTTGATAACCATCTGGACAACATCCGATTGGATTGGACAAACACCACTCTCAATAAAGAAATTCAGTCCCTTTTATGAGAATTGTATTTGCTACAATTGTATAAAAACTAAAATATGTGGCATTATTATTTCAATCTTTGTTACATCTTATATGAGTGTTATGGAATAACATTCCATGTGAAGGGTATATTTTTATTGGATATAGCACCAACAGGAAGTTTTTGAATTCAACCGATGTTATCGGATTATATACTGTATTATTCAAAGAAGATTTTTGTTGTTTTTGTGTTGAATACATTCGTATTACCATATTCCTGCTTTCTATATTTGGAGTGTAATCAGTAGTTTATTCTCCGAAAAGAAAATAAAGTTTACCGAGTCAAAAATCATATATTTTTGTGTACATTTGAGGTTATTTTGCAGTACTTCAGGTTTACTGGGTTGTTAGCAGTGTTTTGGAACCTTTGACATACAATAAAAACTTTCCTCAAACATCAGAACCGCAATGCTATTTTCGACATGCGTTTCATCAACCAAACTGGCGTCTTGAGGAGATAAAGAAAACTGAAGACGCCAACTTTGTTAGTGAAACGCGCGTCGAGAATAGTATGATAGTTCCGGTGGTTGGGAAAAGTGCTGTTGAATCACAAAATTGTAACACAGTGAATGTCAAATAATAAGTCCACACTGAGGGAAATCGTAAAATTTCATTGCTATACATACAGTGCTTTTCAGATAAAAGTATACACCTTTAATAACTTTTGTAATACTGGTATTTAGGAAAAATCCAAAAACACGTCAATTTATGTTGGAAGGGGCAAGCATTATGGCTTATTTAAACTTACTGGAAAAGCCACCCCCTCACCCCTAGCATCATCCCTTTTTTTTTAAATTACTTCTCATATTTTTTATGTAAAATTTGGATACTCCTCTTTGAGCTGATTTCAAAAATGTATAATACTTGTAGGTTAAAGTGGTTAGTTTATGAGATAAACAATTTTTCTTTTAATAGCACAAATTTTACTTATTTTTTACTTTCACCTTATTTGCCTGTACTAAAATGGGTTGTACAACAGTTCAAACTCTTTAATCTTTTTAACTGTGCTATTTATTATGAAGTTACAATAAGTGTTCAAAATGAGTACCATTCACTTTCATACAATGGTATAATCTATTTTGAAATGCCTCTCTGACATTGCTTTATACGGCTGGATTTAATTGTCAACATTCATTTTCTATCCTCTCTCGTAAGTCATCCAGAGATTCTGGTTGGGTAGCATAAACTTTTGTTTTTAAATACTCCCAGAAAAAGAAGTCTAGGGGTGTTAAATCCGGTGACCTAGGTGGCCACTCCATCATCTGCCCTCTTCTACCTATCCAACGAGCGGGGAATGTTTCGTTTATAAATTGTCGGACAGGCATAGCATAGTGTGGGGGAGCTCCGTCTTGTTGAAATACCAGTAAATCTTCGGAAAGGTTATCATCATTTTCTATTATTGTTGTAATACGTGGGTCAACCCCTTCCCTGAGTAACTCAAAATATGATTCACCATTTAAATTTCCGTTGATGAAGAAAGGTCTGACAATGTGGTCACCTAGGATACCACACCAAACGTTTAACTTTTGGGGATGTTGTGTATGGAATTCACGCATAATATGTGGATCACTTTCAGCCCAATATCTACAATTATGCCTATTTACTAAGCCATTTAATGAAAATGAGCATTCATCAGAAAAGCAAATATTGTTTAACAATTGTGGATTGTTATTGATAAATTGCGTCATTGATTCGCAAAACTCTAGACGACGATCAAAATCATCTTCATTCAACTCGTGCACCAACTTAACTTTGTATGGGTGGTACTTGAATTTATGTAGAACTCGGAAAACTGTAGAAGATGAAACACCGATCGCTCTACTTATTGTTGACAACGATTGGGGTTGTTGAGCCTCTAAGCTGACGCCCTAAAATTGCCACTTGGATTGCTTCGTTATTTACGAGTCCCTCTCGCTTATGCACTTTATTGCAAACAGACCCTGTTGTGGTATATTTCTCCATCAGTTGAATTACATACTTATGAGTTGCATGTCTTCCGTCATGTAATTCGTTAAATATTCTAACAGCAGCTCTTGCACAATTATTATTTTGGTAGTATAAACCTACAATTTCAATTCTTTCTTGCAAAGAGTAAACCATTTCAGCGAAACAAAATAAATAATGTATCAAAGTACACTATCAATAGTGACTACAAATTCTAGTTTACAACGTCAAACTTTAATAAAAAGTAGAGTTTTTTGTTGTTTGGATTTTTGAAGAAGAATAAATAGCACAGTTAAATAGATTAAAGAGTTTGAACTGTTGTACAACCCATTTTAGTACAGGCAGATAAGGTGAAAGTAAAAAATAAGTAAAATTTGTGCTATTAAAAGAAAAATTGTTTATCTCATAAACTAACCAGTTTAACCTACAATTATTATACATTTTTGAAATCAGCTCAAAGAGGAGTATCCAAATTTTACATAAAAAATATGAGAAGTAATTTTAAAAAACAAGGGATGATGCTAGGGGTGAGGGGGTGGCTTTTCCAGTGAGTTTAAATAAGCCATAATGCTTGCCCCTTCCAACATAAATTGACGTGTTTTTGGATTTTTCCTAAATACCAGTATTACAAAAGTTATTGAAGGTGGATACTTTTATCTGAAAAGCACTGTATAATGGTATACGAGGGCTGTCAAATATTGTAAATTCCATCAAAGATTTGAGTATTCTCATTTTTAAAAATCCATAATGTATCATATTTGGAGCATTATTCTCTAGAATATATTCCACTAATCCTCTTCTAGCCAGATTACCAGATCTTACTACCCCTTTATTTTTTTATTATGATGATACCTTCGGAAAAAATTGTGTCATCAACTGTTAAAAATGTTGATCAAACAAAACACACAAATAATCGGTGTCAAACTGATATACCTGAACAATTTTTGAGTACAAACAAAGGCAGTGTGTACCTAATGTTCTTGTTTATAAATTTGGAAATGTATTAAAATCAAAGGTTTCAGGTCATCAAACTACTATTTGCATTTTTTTTCACATAACTTTCAAATGTAAGTATTAATTGAAAATTTATGTTGTATTTAATGTCTACCAAGAAAGTCAACAATTATTTATTGATTTGTATGTAAACTTTCACGGCCGGAGATAACCGTGTCAAAGCTATTTTCCTGCTTTTTTGGCCTTGGTACAGGTTTTTTGGGCCTTGGTACAGGTTTTTTTTGCCTTGGTACAGGTTTTTTGGCCTTGGTACAGGTTTTTTTGGCCTTGGTACAGGTTTTTTGGCCTTGGTACAGGTTTTTTTTGTCTGACATTTCGTCTACTAGTGCGGTAAATATTATCAAAGGCGATGAGTTAACAGTCGGAGTGCTCCAGTTCTCAACGCGTTAGTAAACGAAATACTAGGATTATTTCCTTCAAGACCAATATAAATACTCTAGATAAACAATCTCAGTTGAAGCTAAATGATGAATCCTTCAAATGAGCAATTTTCAGCTTAAATCAGACTATTCACAGGTACATCGATCGTCTCAGAATTGAAATCAAACCATTTTTCACAATAGTGATGTTTTCATGAGTAGGACTCACCAATGCTACCGTTTGACCAAATAGAGAGACGTAGCAAAATAAAAAATGAAACAAAAAATTGGTACTTTATTCAATATTAGGTATAAAGTTCATCTATTCAGGAAAAGTCCAATATATATGTCATTCATGCTCAGAATTACTGTTTTTACACTTGGGTAAAACTTTAATTTTTTACCAGATTGAAGAACTCGTACTGGTGAAGAATTAACAGTCTTATCTGAAATGTCTCAGTATGATCAATATGCGCAGGAACAGGTTAATAATGTCTACATAAAGGTTAATGGCGGCAAATATATATTCTTCTGGAGAAATTGCATATTTATGACTGCCTCCCAACATCAGTTGAGTGTCATATACTAAATAAGCAGAAAACAACAGCGCCCCCAAAAATGAATATACCAAATTGAGTATGTTGGTGTTAATGACTGCAAATGCAATTCCCATGACGATGAGTAACAAAAGAAAGATAAAGAGCATGCCTCCCATGAAAGTGAAATCAAATTTAGTTTGGAAGGCAAACAAAGTGAGCCCAAAGCAAACAATCGCAGTCATACCAACTGCCAGTGCCACTATATCTACGTCACACATTGAAGTTATGGTCCCTAGCAATACAGACTCTGCCAGAGTGAAGGTAAACAGAATAATATAGTTCATGGGAGCTCTTCTGCGTAGGTCTCCACAACAAGCTAAGAAAATTAACGATACAAATACCACGCCAATTGAGATAAATAATAATATGGGATTGTTTTGCACGAACTCTTTGGTGTTGCAGTCGAAGAGAAACCAGCAAATAAATGATAAGGTGATTGCTAGTTGAACAGACAGTATGGCGTACACTTTCCTTATGAATCCTCTTCTGATGCTCGGGTTATCGAAGGAGAATCCTTTGACCAAGGGATCTTCAAGGGCACCGACATCTTCACAGTGATATGAAAAAAAAATTAAAATTATAGTACTTGACTCTACCAATTAGACAGAAAAAAATTTGCTCGTGCTTTCAGCTATGGTGAAAACATATCGAAAAGGGAATGTCAAAAACCAGAACCTATTTATGACTATCTGTTATAATTATTCCAAAAACCTATTCAACAAGGTGTGATTTTATGATGCACTATTTGGAACCTTTGGTGTAGTAATGAAGGTAAAGTAGTAAAGAGGCAGATGAATCTTCATCTTGAAGATGATCACTTGGTGATCGAAACACGTGTCGAGGTGTTAAAATAACGGTTTAGTGTTGGGAAAAACTCCAGTAATATTAAAGGTGTGTTTTATTGAAATTGAAATATTTTTAGGAGGGACTAGTTTTTAAGAAATCTTTTTGGTTTTCCACTTCTTCATAATTATATGTGTAGATCTTCCAAAGAAGTTTCAAATCAAAATATAACTTATTGTGAGAGAAAATAATTCATCAACACAGTCCTTTGCTTTGAATCATTGAGATGACGCTCTTGACTTGGAGGTAGAAGGGAATATTTATTATGGGGTTCTTATGAAATCTGATTTATTATTGATGATTATGGAAATGAGGCCAGTTTTTCTACCACCTACTAGATTTTTATTTATGTATGGCTTTATTATTATAAAAAATAAAACAGAAACTGACGTAACGTCAAGTTTCGTTTCAAAATCAACCTCACGCTAGTTTTGAACCATCATGAATACGTTTCAAATCACCGTTGATGTGACGTCATCGTTTCACCAGAATTAATGTATTTAATCACAGACGAATACGTTTTGAATACATGAGCGCCAGAAAACGCCTTTTTGTTTATCGCGTGTTAGTCGATGTTATGATTGAAATGAAGCAACCCAATTAAACGGCAGTTTATTGAATTGTTACCAAGATAATACTTGTTCGTAACCAAATGGCATTTTTGACTTTCCTGCAAACTTATATCAGTGTGAAATCTGGCCACAGTACATGATATAGTACCGCGAACTATATAAGCGGCAAATAAAACAGACCTTGATTTCTTTACTTCTGCTTCAGCAACAGCTTGATTCGTTGCGGAATATGTAGTTTTTGCGAACGTCTTTCTGATATAACATTTAATCTAGCGACATATTTTCATACATGTATTTGAATATTGTTTGCATTTTTACAATTTGACTAGTTTTATATTTTTTTATTCTATCTGTACTTTTGTATTGGGTATTGTAGCTATTTTCAATTTTTCAATTGTATCGAGGGAAAAGGGTCTTGGACCCATAAATAAATAAATCAAGATCTTCAGATGATGTGGTGCTGCAGGTTTTTCCGGGTTTTCCTGCAGCTGAAAAAGCAAATGTGCCACTGGAATCATTGAAGTCGCCCCGGAGCGCCAATTAATTTTTATTGTTGTTTTTATTTTATTTTTATCGTTGTTTTAATAAAATATAAATAAATTATTATGAAATAGGTTTTACCGTATTGTTGATGAATGCCTGATTCGGCCGAACCGCTGACGACTTGAGGTACATAAATTCCATCTGACACGTAGACAATTTGTGGAGGAGGTTCAATGCTTGGAGGTATGACTGCTTCTTTTTTCGAGTTTTCAGGAAGACATACAGGAGAGGGTGGCATCGGATCTGTTGAAAAATATGTTATTAATCTTTAAGAATAATCAGATAAAAAATTTTCTAAATGTCTTCTCTAGAAAACTATCTCTCCTAAAAAATATTCCCTTTTTAAAAAAAATGTTTTGAATTCACTTCGGAACAAGTTACAGGATCAGATAGGTTTTGAATGGAATAATTTGTGAAACTAAAATTGGGGCATACATTCAGGAAACTTACAATACACATACCTCAAGAGATGATAATGAAATTTGAGAAGGTGTTTTAGACAATTTGAAATAAAAAACATACTGTATCAATCAATGTTATTCGTATCCAATAACAATATTATTAGGAAGTACTCAGTTTTTCTTTTATTTATTATTCTTCATTGCTTTATTTTCAGCCCAGATATTGATACTTTTCAATTTAAGGTTAGTAGCTAAAATATTTGTTCCATTTGAAAAATCAAAGTTGCTACTGCTTTCTAATAGAAGCGGCAACACCGCATTGTCGAAAATATTTTAGTTGGCTAGAGATTGTCCGAATATGCCCTCCATTGAATTTTCTAAGTGATCCGTTGTCTGGTTCACCAGAAACGTCTAATGTGCCATCCACCGTGAATCAGCCTGTATAGTAGATAATAGGGAAGTTACAAACTACAGACTGATGTTTCATTCTTTCCTTATACATTGTAAATTTATATTCTTAAAAAGTCACTACACATGGTATAAATATTTATTAATAAATTAATGGATGTAGCCGTTACTACGTGGTAGTAGATCATAATGAAAAGAGAAATGAAAATTTCTGTTTTTTACCACTTTTAATTGTAACTATCGTTACTGCAGTTTCGTCCTATATGGACATTCTCAAACGAATACAATAAACTAACAATAATTATTATAACAATGATATATTGGTAAATGTAATGAATATTACTTGAACAAAATCCAGACTTACCAGCCGTATTAAAAGTTCCTTTCGAATTTGACATGGCTGCTGCTTAACCTGGCATGTAAATCAGAAAAATGTTTATAAGGAGCAAGACAATCTTTAGGCATGTTAATATTGCCAACTGAAAGTTGAGTAAAAAAATGCGAGCACCTTTTGATTTCAGAATGCATATATGGAACAGACTGTAATGCCAAATACTTTCATAACCTAACTTTGAAAAACTAACATTTTGAGAATCCTCATATATTAAAAATATATATTTTATTAGTATTTCGAAAGAACATTTTCAATTCTAATAGGCAAACTGCAAATCAGTTTTTTCTACCAAACTTTTGATACAATAATTTCTTCAGTTTTCATCGGGGCAGTACGCAAGATAGGGGCAGAGGCAGATTAAACGTAAAGAGCGCCTAGGCAAGCATTTCGTAAGTGCCCCTTTAGCACACAAATTTCACTAACTTCGAACTATGGCATATGGCATGTTCCCTTTCGTGGCCTCGCGCCCCTAGGCACGTTCCTAATTTGCCTTGCGAATAATACGCCTCTACGTGGTGAAAAAAGGGGGGAAGCGTATGCCCCTCCCTAGGCAATATATAAAACCAGAGCATGTATATATGATCTTTCACCTCATTTGAGGATTAATTGCCGATGACACGGCTCTACTCTCGTCTTCCATGGGGCGGGAGCTCGGCGTCGTCTATATGCAGCGTGCATTGGACGACCTCGAGCGCTGGTACCTCGATTGGAAGATCCGAGTAAACCCGGAAAAGACTCAGGCGATAACCATGGGAAGATTACTATCTTCTCCGGCCAGAAAAGTGAGAATCTCTGGAAGGGAGATTGACTGGCAGGCGCGAGTAAAGTACCTCGGTCTTTTAATAGACCGTAGGCTCACTTGGAACCCGCACATTATGTACGTTAAATCCAAGATCGAGGGTCGGATAGCTAGACTGTACCCTCTGATCATTAGGAAATCTAAAATGAGTTTAAAAAACAAGATCACGATCTACAACACGATGTTCAAGTCTGTCATCATGTACGCTTCAGGCGTCTGGGGACAAGCGGCTCCGTCCAACATTTCCATTTTGGAAAGGTTACAAAATAAGTTAATTAGGATGATTGTGAATGCTCCTTGGTTCGTGCGGAATGAAGCCATCCGCAGAGATTTGCAGCTGCCTTCCATTCGGCAGTCCATTCAGTCGAGGAATGCGAGAGTTTTCGAAAAAACGGAAACTCACGAAAACCCGTTAGTTAGGGAAGCCACAGATTATGCTGTAGACGACCCCTCCCGATATAGAAGGCCCCGACACTCTGTCGAATGAGGCCCTCATGTCCCCCGTTAAAGGATGAATAACTTTTTCATCCATCCCACCCCAGCCAGGTAGGGGTATCCCGTGAAGGGCGGCACTGATGTCTAAGGACTTCATGCCGTCATCCATCAGTCATGTACCCATTGGTCCCTCTCAAGGCCAATGATCAGCCAAAAGGGTAGGGGAGCTGGTCTCCAAACCTGAACGAAATGAAGATGGATTTCGTCTTTGAGGATTAATTGATTTACATATTTCACATTATGTATTTTCTTGTGAAGTCATTCCAGATTGGCAATCAGCTTATAGAAAGCAGCATAGTAGTGCAGATCACACTGTTACTGTTACTCATTCACAACATAACGAAAAACTTTTAAAAAATGGATTTTGACAATACCTGAGATCAATAGAAAACTTTCTCTCACTATCAAACATGAAATTACACTGCAAATTCAAGTGGTTTATTCGTACTTATGAGTTCTGATAAAATGAAATGTTGACACTGATAGGAAAATATGGATTTCCGATAAGAAGAAAACCAGGATGTACAGTATTGATATGTTGTTTATTTATAATACAGGATAATTTTTGCTATTTCGGAAAAGGTAGGGCCGTACGAGGTTGGTGAAGGGAATATTTTTTTTTAAGATGCAACAGGCTAATATTCTTAGATAGAAAAAAAACATCAGCCATTTTGGTGGTCCGTTATAAAAATACGAAGTTTCATGAGTTTTGAGTTGTGCTATAACAACAGACAAAATGTAAATTTTATTGAAAAGGTTTTCTCTGGAGAATATTATGAAATCTTCTGATTTATCCGAATTCGAAAAATTGTATTTTTGAATCGAATATACCAATTCTCTCAGTTCACATTTTTCTTTTGATCCAAATGGGTAGTATTTTCATCCAATTATGACCAATGGATATTTTGATCACAATAAATTTAAGAATGAAAATAATTTTTCAGATTCCGTACATTCAATATATCATAAAATTCAGGTAAATATGTGATTCTAGTATGAAATGGGGAAAAAATAATTGAATAACAGTAATAATGTGGCAGTTGGAAAGCTATTTGAACGGATACGATAATAATCACCGAATTAAATAGCATTTCATGCACATTAGATATAATTGCACTTTACACCATACAATTCAAAGTCATTCTACCTTCACAAACCGATACGGTACGCGTGATGAAGAAAGTTTGCAATTGGATTGATCGCATTTATGTTTTGTGTTGAATTTTTGTTGAGTATTGTATTTCTTCAAAAAGAAACGACATTCAAAGCGTCTTGTGTTCATACTTTCAACAGAGCGTCAAACTTATCGATCTTTCACTTCTAGTTCATTGCACTTCTCTGATCAAGTACAGTAAACAATATTACTCTGTACCACCTAACGTCATTTCCATTCTGATCGGCATATTCATCCTCACCTAAAGGTAAATATTTAACGTAAAGGCCATATGCTTTCTGCGGAAAATACTAATTTTAGAAGACTCGTGAGCTTATTCATCCGCATTCTTGTAAGCACATAGATTATTCGGTCTTACCTTGTTACAGATCACTATTCCAATTCAACTTCCACTTCTTGAAGATCTGATCGAACTGGTTTGTGTATTTGAAGCCTGTCTGCGTTTGCATAATGTGGGATTTACGTTCTGCATCATAACCTTAACCTTAACACTCGCAGATGTATCTCTGTCTACCAGTGTTGCCGTACTGGAAAGATTTTCAGTAACACCATCGTATAGAAGGTGTTTGCTTTTATACGACGGTAACACAAATTAGGATGAATCGGGTCACATTTTATGAAATGAGTACCACACCTACACTATCATGTTGAATGACAATAAATAATTTCACTAAACCCAAATAGACAATAGGGAACAGTAAGCGTTTTTTAGTATTGCAAATAATTGATTTGGGCTTCAGAAATCTCCAACAGTGAAAAATAAATCAAACCCTGCTTTTTCATTACAATATTCAAATTTGAAAAGCATACATTCATACATACACTGAGAAAACTGACTCCAATAATAATTGATTACCATTGATAGGTTAGGTTAGGTTAGGTTAATGTAAGCATCCAACGGCAGTTCAAGGAGAAATTCCTAGAACTGGCAGATCTGTCCGAGGACATAAACGTTGTGGAACAGACAACCAGAATCAGGGGAACCGACGTTCAAATGACATTTTCCATAAATCCCTGACGAACATTGAGATTTACACCACCGGAAAACTCAACCCAGAGAGTGGCAAAGAAAAAATCAGGCCAACATACGGAATCATAGTTAACGGAGGAGGAAAAACTTTCAAAGAAACATTGGAATCGGTCAAGACATCCGTAGCACAGAGTACTGCGTCAAAACACATACGACTCATTAAGAGCACAACAGGCGGAAAATTATTGCTAACCTTGGACAGGGCAAGAACCGCTAGAAACTATATACGTAAAAGACATGTTGGCAGATGCAACCAAAGAAGAGGTGGTTGAAGCCGTGAGGCAGGTCACTGACCTTGCGACGACTGCAAGGTCAGCGAGATCAGACCAACTATGTATGATACAACGGTAACCACAATTTCCTTGCCAAAACAAATGGCCAAGTCAGTTCTCTCTGGGGGATACCTTAAGATAGGATTAGCCAGGTGTAAGCTAGAAAGGCGGCTGAAGGTGGACAGATGTTCGAAATGCTGGTCGTACGAACATAGCAGGGCAGAATGTGAAGGACCCGACAGAACGAACTTGTGTTATAAATGTGGTCAGGGAGCGCATAACTCCAACGAATGCGTGAATGAAAAGTATTGTCCGGTGTGTGAAGAGGAAGGCCACAGGCTGGGAACGACCAGGTGCCCCGCTTTTAAACATGCCCTGAAAAGGGCGAGACAAAAACAGAAGGGAAAGAGACCAGCCAAAAAAGAAAGACAAGTAGATGAGGTTCAGAAAGAGATACCAAATTCACCAAAAGAGACCGCAAATAACACAATGGAAAAAGTGATGGAGTCGCCCAGCATTCTCCGCGATCTTATAGCATAGATAACGTTCCAAAACATCTAAAATGTCTCTACAAATTATTCAAATTAATATTGACAGACGCAGAAATGCACACCACCTGCTCCTCAGGACAGCGGAAGAGGAAAATGCGGACATACTGTTAACCCAGGAACCTAATAAGACACTGGTTCAAAAGAATCCTAACTGGCTAATAGACTCGAAAACAGACACGGCAATTCTCATAAGGAATAGGAAATGCGGGGCTTCACATGGTTGAATTTCGAAAAGTGGTCGTTATATAACTGCTATATTTCTCCAAACTCAACCCTAGTAGAATACAAAAGTTTTGTCGACTCGGTGATGTAGAAAGTGATGGATCAAAAGAGAGAGGCGATTGTTGTAGGCGACTTTAAATTGAGTATCAGGAGTGCAGAAGTGTGAGGAGGTATTTGTTTTACACTCGCATATGAAAGTGAAACTTTCACACACATTTATGTCTGACTTCAATTTTTCAGTTATTTTCACGTAAGATACAGGAGTGAAATATTTCGAATTGCGTGAAATTCATTCAAATTTGGAATCACCAGATCCAGCAGTGATTTACGGTAATTTGAAAAATTGAGTATCAGGAGTGCAGAAGTGTGAGGAGGTATTTGTTTTACACTCGCATATGAAAGTGAAACTCTCACACACATTTATGTCTGACTTCAATTTTTCAGTTACATACATACACACAACAGAAGAACATCTATGTTGATTCTCTTCTTTTACTTGTATGAGACTGAAACTTTACTTTTCATAAAGTTATTTTGTCTGAACTCGGACGTAATTTTACAAAACCCACAAAAAATCATGATTACTTTCATAATCGATAATGATCCCATGTTATTCAAAGTCTAAAGTCAGAAAACCGAGATTGAGGTCATTGAATAAAATGAAATCAAAATCATTGTGAAATGATATACAACAAAATAAATGTCAGGAATAATTCTCCCCAAAATATGGTAGATAGGTGACCAGAGCCGAGTTGAAACTATGATGTGATCTAAGTTTCAACTGTCTCAGGAGCCAAGTTTCGACTGTGAAGGATGACGGGTTTCAATTTTGACGGGAGCTCAGTTTCAACTGAGGAAAAAGACCAGTTTGAACTGTTACAGGAGTCGTGTTTCAACTGTGACGGGTGCTGAGTTTCAACTGTGAACGGAGCTGAGTTTCAACTGTGACGGGTGCTGACGGGTCCCAAATGATATGCTATTCACTGGCTCGTATCATCGTTTATTCCTGAAAGAGATGGATACTGAATCATTAATAAATTGGTGGATGTAGCCGTCACTACGTGGTAGGAAATCATAATGAAGAAAAGAGAAATGAAACTCTTTATGTTTTTACCGCTTTTATTTGTAACTAACGTTACTGCAGTTTCATCCTATACGGTGTTACGGTTTCATTTTGTCATTACAAACTCCATGAATGATATTCTGTTGAATTTTAGAATTAAAAAATATGCATTCACTGCTGATATAAAAGAAATGTTTTTGCAAGTTAAAGTAAGACCGGAAGATTGCTCTGCACAACGAATATTATGGAAATGTTGAACATATATATCATGCGAGAAGACTGACTTGCATCACAACATGAGAAACTTTTCTTAGTGTCTTTTGAGCTTTTTCCATGGGAAACATTTATAGTTTTGACAGATTTAGTACCTGAAAAACCGCCTGGCACCTACGGCCTGGTGACTTCGACAATTTGAACTAGCCAACTGTTACACCCATGCTCAATCCCTAAAAAGATGGAATGAAATCAAAGGATGCACTCTTGCCAGAATCACCCTGGGCGACTCTGAGAAGCTGGCACCGAAGAAATATCTGTCGGTGACCAGGAAAAACCTCTACTTAGAGTAGGATTTTTGATTGGCCACTGCCAACTAAGGAAACACCTCCACAATATGGGGTTAGTGGACACAGCTCTATGCAGGATGTGTAAACAGGAAGATGAAACTGTTAGGCATATCCTATGCGACTGTCCGGAGTTATGGTGAATAAGAGTCACTCTCGAGTGTTCGGCGAGTCTTGGCCTTCACCTGCCGATATAAAGGAGATGTCTCCTAGTGACCTATCTTCCTGAAAAGGACAGGATGAACGATGACCTGGGAGGACAACTCCTCGGGAGCATGTACAATGGGTCATACGTGGCCTAAGTACTGTGGGCCTACACTCGTTATCCCCCTACTCTACAGATACCGTCTGAACACTTCTGTTTTGAACTTTGGCATCGCAAGCATTTTTTTATTGAATATTCGAATTATAGATGTCTGTACGATATATAATTTTCCTATGAGGATAATGAGGGTTTTTTTGTTACAATTATTTTATGGAAAAAACAGTCAGCGTGAAATGTTCAACCACCCAATTTTATTAAGCTTATATGAGATTCTTTGTCGCCGACCAATACAAAAAATGTGAAATCCATTTAAGTTGAAAAATTCGGCTGTGAGAGGGATTTAAGAAGATTTGAAGAAATTGAGTATTGGGAGTACGGAAGTGTGGGAAGGTTTCCGTACTATACTCGCATATGAAAGTGCAACACATACCAAGATTTTGGCCTGACTGCAATTTTTCAGTTATCTTCACATAAGATACAGTGGTGAAATATTTCGAATTGCGTAAAATTCATTCAAAGTTGGAATAACCAGATTTAGCAGTGATTTACGGAAATTTGAAAAATTGAGTATCAGGGGTGCAGAAATGTGAGGAGGTATTTGTTTTACACTCGCATATGAAAGTGAAACTTTCACACACATTCATGTCTGACTTCAATTTTTCAGTTATTTTCACGTAAGATACAGAAGTGAAA